TTCAAGATCTTAAAAAAAAAAAAAAGAAGAAGAGCGAACTTAAAATAAAAATAACAATTTAGTTTTATAACTGTGATTAAACAAACAAAATTCTCGTCATTTATATTTTCAAAAAAGTAAACAACCAGAGCATGGTTGAAGAATTATGGGGTTGTTTCAGGTCTACAATTGGCATGGGATATCGGAGCTTGAAAAATTAAAGTGGAAGACGACAACCTGAGCATTGTTGCTATGATAAAGGAGGAGTCCTATAGCGGGCCGCATCGAAGTATTTTGAAGGGGATTCAAGAACTTTTGGATCGTCATTGGTAGGTGGAGATTATTCATAGATATCGAGAGGCCAACTTTGTTGCGAACTATTTGACTTATTTGGCGGCAAAGGAGCCGAGTGGCCTTCATCGGCTGGAGTACCCACCGCCGGGGCGGACATATGATTAACTCATGATAGAATTGACGTGTCCTATCTTCGGAAGGTCGTCAGATAGTTTTAATGTAGGCGATGTCTCCCTGAAAAAAAAAAAAAAAATGTAAACAACCATATAGTAACTTCATTACATTTTATATGATTATATGACATACAAATTTCAAAATAAACTAACCTTTTTTTCTCACGTTTTCAAAATTTTCAATTCATTTTCATGATATAATATCATGATTTAAATAATTATATTATATGAATCGGGCCGGTGAAGCAATAAAAAAGCAACTTTTTTTTGGGTTTTAATTTTTAAACCTGACTCGCAATTAAAGCCGACCTTCTTCTCCATACCAATTAACTCGAAACTGTAAATTTTGTGCGCACACTTCACTGCACTGCACAATTTCCCACTATTTACACCTTCCATCAAAAACCCTATCCGCCATTGTTGTGTCGAGTTAAGCTTCTCTACAGAGAGCGAAAAAAAACAAAAAAATTATTGAAGAAGAATAATTTCATGTTTGTGTCAACATCAATGTGGCTGATCAGCTCAAGCTAGTTCTTTTTTTTTTATTTATATTTTAATCTGGGCTCTGTTTCGTTTTATTCGGTCGGCGCAAATGCTTTGTTTTCGTTCTGGGCTGTGATAAATCTGGGTTTCGTCTCATCTGATTCGACCTGGAGCTCTTTTGATTGAAGGTACAACAACAAACGAGCATTTATTTCCCTTTACATTATTTTACTTTTTCCTCAAAACGGGTTATCAATGGCGGATTCGAATCGGGCATAGCTTTTGATCTGTAATAACCGTTGTTGATTTTGTGGGGTTTTTGCGATGATGGGTTGCTGGGTTTCGAGGTTTTCGATCTGGGTTTTGTTCGTATTGAATCTTGCATTTTGCTCTAGAGGGTTCGATCCCGTTGATCAATATTACATCAATTGTGGGTCGTCCGGTGATGTCACCGTCGGCAATGTTACCTATTCCGCCGATAGATCAGCCTCGAGATACCTTTCAACCCCTCGAGACATATTAGCCGACGCCAATCTGAACGATGAATCCATCTTTAGTACGGCCCGAATTTTCACCGCCCCGTCTAGGTATACTTTCCCGATCAAACAGGCCGGCCGGCACTGGATCCGCCTCCGATTTCACCCGTTTGTTTACCAAAGTTACGACATGAACAATGCGGTTTTCTTCGTTTTCTCCCAGAAGAATACTCTGCTCAGCAGCTTCACCCCTAATCGAAATTCTACCGTGAAGGAATATTCCGTTAACCTAACTTCCGGCGACTTTGTTCTCACCTTCTCTCCCTCGGCAAACTCATTCGCTTACATAAATGCCGTTGAGGTTGTTTCATCTCCGGACGACCTCATCACAGACGATGCCTCTCTCTACAACCCGGTGGGCCCGTTCACCGGGCTTCTAACCGAGTCCCTCGAGACAATTGCTCGGTTGAACATGGGTGGATCGTATATCTCTCTGGCTAACGATACATTGGGCCGCGAATGGGTACCCGACTCTAACTACCTAGCCCAGCCGGA